GTTCACCAATTCAGAGATCGTGCCTCCTAGCCGTCTCACAGAATATGGTCAGCGAATATTTAGAAATAGAGAATTTCGGAGTAAAGCCGCCACCAGCCGCATCTAGTGGCGATGCACGGGCTCTGGGAATACTCTCCTCGACGAGACGATTAGGCGAGTGGGCCAACGATACCAAACTGGATTCCTATAAAAATAAGTGTCAGATGACAACTTGAGCAGCAGGAAGTGGCACCAGTTAACAGTGACAAGATCTGGTACCTGCCTCACTTCGGGGTCGGGAACCCAAATAAGCACGGGAATATCCGTCTAGTCTTCGATGCCGCAGCCAAGGCCCACAACAGTTCAAGTCTCTTCTATTTTCGGGAAGGAGCAGTCTGCGTAGATATACTAAGGAGATGTTTCATCAGATGCTGATAGAGCCGCAGAATACGCCCAGAGGTTCCTGTACGAGATGATGGTGATGACGTTCGGCGCTTGTTCGCCGTGCTCAGCGCATAAACGCTTCAAGATACGCCCAAGCAGATCCTCGCGCGGTACAGGCTATCGATGATTACCACTATGTGGACGACTACGTGGATAATTTCTCAGAGGAAAAAGAAGATAGCTTCTGTATCAACACGAATAAGAAAAATTCACGCTGGTTTCGATTTGTGTCGCTTTTCTTCCAGTGCGGTCAAGGCTTTGAACCCACTAGTATCCAATAAAAATGTTAGAAAATATTAGGCTTGCACTGGCAGCCAGCGACGTATTACTTTAAGTTCAGCGTAAAGTACCATAAGTACGGCAGCGTGATGACTGAGGAACGAGCACCCACCCGATAGGATTATTGAGCTGCTTCCTGGTGAACGTCAAATAATTGCGCGTGAGATTTGTCGGAGAGGAATGCAATGGGATGAGTTGGCCAAAAAGTTTGAGATGTGTTGGCTGGAAATAATTTACATCAGAGATTTCCGGTGCCCGCGCTACTTCTTTGGGAGGGGACGCGTACGGCAACTACAGCTGCGTGTGTTTGTGGACTAGAGCCAATCAGTAGCAATGTGGGCTCCCATTTCGTGTGTTCCAAGACGAAATTTGCCCCGATGAAGACGATGACGATCCCGCGCGTGGGGCTCCAAGCAGCTGTACTCGGAGCTGATGGACACCGTAAGACGAAAGAACGACAAAACCGTTCTATACTGGATAAGCAGCACCCACCGGTGGTGGTACACTGCGGTACAAACAGTTCATTGGAAACCGAGTGGCAGAGATCTTAGATTGTACTGAGGTGGATACCGTCTGGAAAAATGTGATGAAAAAGTTAGAAAAAGTCATCAAACCAGAGAGAACTAAGATGAGCTCGATGATGAGATTCGGTTCTGGAAACGTTGGGTACACGAGTGCATACCAACGCTCGTGCGCAGAGAGAAGTGGTGCGAGCTTTTCAAGCCTAAGCGAATCTCGTCTACATCTGTGACCCGGCCATCCCTCGTCGGGAATGAGGGAAGGGAGTCGTGGAAGAACTATACTATACTATACTAGTTACGATAGAGCGAAGTTAATTATGCGTCCCATCTCCAGATGTTGGATGGCTGTTCTGGATGTGTTGAAGGTGCTTGCTTCACCGGTGTGGGAATGTCGTGAAACGGATTAAAGTAACGCTCATTGTTATTGTAATTTAAATGTAGCGCCTAGTATTTCACTATTTGTTATCAGTATCAGTAATTGTTATCGATGTACGTATGTTAATGAGATTTGTTGTAATCGAAATGAATTGATTTATTCCGATTGGAGAGATCAAAGAGACTGGGAGGCAAGACTTCGGTATGTTAATCTGAAAAAAAAAAATCAAAACTCGGGCTATGAAGTTAATAATAAGTGGACACAATTATAGCGTAATACGCCCTTTCTATAGAGTCCACCCGTTCGAATCGGTTGGTTGATTTGTCAAAAGACAAATGTGAAACTCCGATTCCCACAGAGCACATCCACCATCCAGCACCTTCCAGGAGCAACTCTGAATGCTGCCACACGGATGGAGCAGTAATTAATTAACTATTACAAGTATAAACAGCATTTATTGATTTATCGCCGTCCATTTTCTAAAGTCCCCCGTCATTATTGTTTACGTTTTTGTAGTGAATGTTTTAGTTGTCACTATCAAGAAGCAGAACTCAGAGTTGCACCGAAAAAATATTGCATAACTATCGGAAATAAGAGTCCGTCAAATTTGGATGGGGAACTAACTGGGACATTTTCGGAAGGGCAAAACTCTGTTGTAGAGATACGAATCAAGTATGTTTTGATATTATGCATGCACTCGATCGAAACCTTGAGATACTTGAGATACTTAAAAACATTAATCCTTCCAGTGTGACTGCATTTTCGAGAGTTCATCAGAATTAAGCGTGCTACGGTCGTACTGTCTATCAGCTGGGTTTGTTGACAAGCAGTTAAAATTCATAAATCGTATTTGCTGGAAAGAGCCTTTATGCCCTCTTCCCATAGAGTCCATCCGTCTGAAACGGTTGAGAATTTTGACAAATGTGAAACTCCGATTCCCACAGAGCACATCCACCATCCGATAACAGCTGATATGAACAGCTGTGGCTCATCATTTTAGCCCGTTGCATTTTGAACAACATTTAAAATGAGCACAACAGCGTTATAAATGATACTTGGTAACAGACTGCAAGTAATCTACGCGAACAACCAAATCGAACTAATACGTCTGCAGATTTTTTCCAGCCTGCAGACAAAATTTAAACAGCTATTGCCCAATATTGTCTAAATGGTAACAAATCCAGTTCGTTATATATAAATGTTTGTTTTTTGTTTTATCATAATTTCATATTTTATTTCATTTTAAATGTTCTGCCCCATGTAGTGAGTACGGTATGCGCCTAGGAAAGTGAGCAACACCTAATGCTGCCACACAGATGGAGCAGTAATTAATTAATTATTACATGTATAAGCATGTATTGGCGCCTTCCCTATTCAAAAGTTACCCGCCATTATTTTTTTTTAATTTTCGTAGTGAATGTTCCAATTTCCACTGTCAAGAAGAAGAACTCACAGTTGCACCAAAAAAACATCGCCTAACTATCGCATAAAAAAGTCCGTCAAATTTGGATGGGGAACTAACTGGGAATTCTCGGAACGGCAAAACCTTATGGACCATCCGTTCAAGGGATGGTGGAGTGTGGATGGGGCTCTGTGGGAAGAGGGCATTAAAAGTCTGCCGTACAATTTTGACTTAAGCTTAGTATCCAGATCAACAAACGATTACGCTAGCGTAAAAACTTTAATCTTTCCAGTGTGACCAAAAGTTTGAGAGTTCATCAGATTTAAGCCTGCTACGGTCGTACTGTCAATCAGCTGGGTTTGATGACAAGCAGTTAAAATTCAAATATCGTATTTGCGGGAAAGAGCCTTTAAAAGATATTATCAAATACCTTGGCAAGACAAGTCTGCCGCTGTACAAAGAATTTAAAAAACAATACAATACAAATTTAACAGTTCTTTTTTTTAATTTACTGATAATTATTTGCTAATTTAAAGTTCATAACTGCACTTTTATTGTGTTTTATCGTACATTCTGGACCTAAAAAACATTTTGCTCTGACAAGAGGCACCCCAGATAGTATTAATGTTATTTTGTCCTCACATGTAAACACCTGCAATCGACTTTTGTGAGTTTTTTGAGTTTTTCCCTCCATTTCTTATAATGTTCAGTGAGAAGCGCACGCCAAAAGATTAAATTTTTTAATCTTTTCGCTAGGGTTCACGTTTCCGCAGACTGGCAATGCTATGGAATTTTCTGGTATTTTTTTCGTCGATCAGGAGACCGACGTGAAAAAAAGGCCCGACGAAAAGTGAACGCCAGCTGTTTGCCTCTCGCTCTCTCTCATGACTGGCGTACGGTTTTCGTCGATCAGGATACTAGGCTTTAAGGCTAAAGCCTAGTATCCAGATCGACAAACGATTACGCTAGCGTAAAAACTTTAATCTTTCCAGTGTGACCAAAAGTTTGAGAGTTCATCAGATTTAAGCGTGCAACGGTCGTACTGTCAATCAGCTGGGTTTGTTGACAAGCAGTTAAAATTCAAATATCGTATTTGCCTTTAAAAGATATTATCAAATACCTTGGCAAGACAAGTCTGCCGGTGTACAAAGAAATTGAAAAACAATAAAATTTAAATTTAACAGTTGTTTTTTTAATTTACTGATAATTATTTGCTAATTTAAAGTTCATAACTGCACTTTTATTGTGTTTTATCGTACTTTCTGGACCTAAAAAACATTTTGCTCTTACAAGAGGCACCCCAGATAGTATTAATGTTATTTTGTCCTCACTTGTAAACACCTGCAATCGACTTTTGTGACTTTTTTGAGTTTTTCCCTCCATTTCTTATAATGTTCAGTGAGAAGCGCACGCCAAAAGATTAAATTTTTTAATCTTTTCGCTAGGGTACACCCAAACTTCATTTCCGCAGACTGGCAACGCTATGGAATTTTCTGGTATCAGGAGACCGACGTGAAAAAAAGGGCCGACGAAAAGTGAACGCCAGCTGCTTGTCTCTCGCTCTCTCTCATGACTGGCGTACGGTTTTCGTCGATCTGGATACTAGGCTTTAAGAATCACTTTGCTCTGATAAGAGGCACCCCAAAAGAAAACTCCACCAATCGAATTTTACGTGTTTTGGATTTTTCACTCCATTTTTACAAAATGTTCAGTGAGAAGCGCAAGCCAAAAGATTAAATGTTGTATTCTTTTCGCTAGGGTTCACCCTAGCCTGACGAAAAGTGTACGCCAGCTGTTTGCCTCTCGCTTTCTCTCATGACTGGCGGACAGTTATCGTCGATCTTAGTACTAGGCTTTAGTGGTTGTATAGATCTTACTGCACAGGAAACTACTAAAGGTAGTGTGGAGAGTTATTCATAGGAAACACGGAGCACTGTAAAAAGGCTTTTTAGAAGTACTAGATGAATTTCAGTATATTTTTAGGCTAAGTATATTTCGTTAGTCCAAGTGCGGTCACTCTGATGACAAATCATTTTTGCGCGTACTCAATAAAAACCCAATTAAAAAGTTTACATATGCATATGAACATATAATTAAGTTTGTTTTTAATCTAAAACACACCATGATTATCACAGTAAAAAATCTTCAGCAGCAAACTTTTACCATTGAGTTTGCACCGGAAAAAACGGTACGTGTTATTAAAATATGTATAGATGCACATATACATAAGTAAAAAATTACATATTTGTGCATAAAAATTTTTTGTGACGGCATAATAGAAAGAGAGTATTTTTAAAAGGTTTTGGAACTTAAAAAGAAAATATACGACGAGCGCGGTGCGGAGTATGTTGCCGAAAAGCAAAAGCTTATTTATGCTGGCGTCATATTAACGGACGACCGTACTGTTGGATCATACAATGTTGATGAAAAAAAGTTTATAGTAGTAATGTTGACACGCGACTCATCCAGTTCAAAGACCAATTTAAATCGCTCAAAAGAAACTGACAAATTGACAAGCACCAACTGTTCAAAGGATCCCTTAGCTCCCGAAAAAGTCAACACTACTAACACTTCTCGTACTACGACTACGGAAGAGTTGCCATCAGTTGTACCAAGTGAAACGACAAGTTCAATAAATATATCTGGTAATGACTTAATTGGCGAGTTAGCGAATGCATCTTTACAATCGCGCGCTGAATCTAACTTACTTATGGGTGACGAATACAACCAAACCGTTCTCTCAATGGTGGAAATGGGTTACCCACGGGAACAGGTAGAGCGAGCGATGGCCGCCAGCTATAATAACCCAGAAAGAGCCGTTGAGTATCTCATTAATGGCATACCAGCAGAAGAAGAGACTATCTTTAATGTCGCCGATGAATCATCAAATGCTAGTGTAATCGCTTCCGGACCACAAAATGTTTCTGCACCACATGCCGATCGTCCAGCAGAATTAAGTTCAGGTAAACATACTCTTCTAAATACATACATACACCAATATCTTGTTTTTGCTATATATCTGTTCGTCGTCAATATAGTAGCCGTTGGTGACATTTGGAAACAGAAAGCCCTTACCTTCGCTGATCCAGATAAACTTGGTCAAGTTTCTTATCCATTGATTAGTTTTACTTCGACAAAAAACCAGTAATGTGTAATTTGCAGTACATACGAGAAAACATCTCAAATGTTACCCAAAGAGCTCCCAATGTAACATCATCTCAGTACAAAAGTGCACGATGATGAGTTATAATTACGCGAAAGTCAATAATAAATAAAGTAAAGAAGTAGCAGACCAGGTTGTCTCCCTTGTGGAACGCCAGAGCTAACTCGTAGAAGACTAGAAAAAGTATTTTCAGGGAGACCCTCTTGTGTCCCGTCTTTCAGGTATTTTAAGATCCATCCAGATGGTAAACAGCAATCCCTTACATTTTGATTTGTAGATCCAAATGTAAAGTTATTTAAACATAGAAAGAAACGGTACAATTTTAAAAATAACGAGGACGGAAGCTAACTTCGGCAAGCCGAAGTTTTAATACCCTTGCAGACTTCGCCGAAATTGCTAGAAATGGAAAAGTAGCGAAAGGAGTAAGGTATATTGTATAGGATATAGACGTTCGATCGTCACGCGCTTTTACCCTAATCAAATTATGCATAAAAAAATACGATTTGGAAAGATTCATGTCAATTGCTTATATACTGTGCGAAATATCCTAAAAATCATTAAATTTTAACCGATTTCACCCTATTGTTCCTATAGGAGCTATAGGATATAGACGTCCGATCGCCAAGCGCTTTTACCCTGATTAAGGTATCCATAAAAATATAAGATTTGGAAAGATTTATGTTAATAGCTTTTACACTGCGCGAAATATCTTCCATTCTTGCAAGTTATATCCGATTGTTCCTATGGGAGCTATAGGATATAGACATCCGATTGGGGCGGTTTTCAAACTTGATCTGCGTACACATGTTTTAGGACGACTGTGAAAGTTTCAGATCGCTAGCTTTTAAACTGAGCTCGCAAACGGTATTGAAACAGACGGACAGACGGACATGGCTATATCGAATCCTCTATTGATCGTGATCAAGAATATATATACTTTATGGGGTCGGAAGCGTCTCCTTCACTGCGTTACAAACTTCTGACCAAAATTATAATACCCTCTGCAAGGGTATAAGAACAAAGATTTATATGTAGATAAGTTCATGGTTAAATAGTATCCAGGTTCAAGAATTTTTACTACAAATGAAAAATTAAATTTAAATATTTACTATATCTGAAAGGAATATATTTATAAATAAAAAAAAATAAAATTTTTTTCATTTTTATTTTTTTTTAATTTTTTGATTTTACTATGGGAGCTATATGATATAGTCGTCCGATCCGGCTTGTTCCGACTTATATACTACCTGCAATAGAAATACAACTTTTGGGATAGTTTCAAGAAAATAGCCTGATCAAAAATATATATACTTTATAGGGTCGGAAATTTCTCCTTCACTGCGTTGCATTATAAATAACAACCTTAAATATCCTTTTTATACCCTTCCAGAGGGTATTATAATTTCAGTCAAAAGTTTCGTAGAAATCGAAATATGGTAGATTTGTAACAACTGCAAGGGTATATAAACTTTACCTCCTTTCTTGTTTAGTAATAACGTGGCTAGTGTGCTTTTTGGGCTTTACAATGTGGTCTTTAAATATTGACAAATACACTCAACAAACCGCCATTTGGTTATCTGAAGTTAATTACTCAATGCAAATAACATTACTCTATCAATATCAATATGTTTGGATCTTTTATGACTAGGGATTATTGACAATACTGATAGAGTCTTGATTTTTTTCATTTATGTTAATAGGTATTTCTTTTATGATATTTACACTATTGAACAGGGATTTAAACCACCTTGCGGCTTCGAATAGACTAATGTAGCTTAGAACTAAACATTAAATAAATAGACAGTTTCACTTTTTCTTTCAATTGCGTTTCCACCCAATCGGGATCTAGCCAACTAATATATTTTCATATGTGGTATTCCTTTTAGAAATTCATTTTATGTTTTTGTTTCCTCTTTAAAAATTGTTTTAACTCAGAGAGCTATTATAAATACTATATTTACTGAAGTTATTAGATCCGGCCGATGTTGGAGCCCGCAAATTGCTTTATTTAATTTACAAACTTTCTCACAACTTTACCTTGATGAATTTGTAAATTATATAGAATGGATAATGATAGTATGAATCGAAACCTTGAAATTTGAACTACAGGAGCAAAAGTTTTATCATAATGGACCTGATAATTCCTTGCTTAACCAATCTTGCTTTGTTTATAACTTATTACTTATCAAAAACATTTTTGTTTTTATAACACGGGCTTTTACAGCATCTTCCCAAAACGATTCAGCATATAATATCAGTTTACTTAAAATTATTATGTTTATGTTCCTCATGATAAGATAAATGTGGCTTACTTGATAGTCAGTCGCTTTTTTTTTGGTCAACTTTGATATCCTCATCCGTGCACTTAATGTTATCGGCTATAATTGGATTCTTATAAGATCTAATTTTACAAAATTATTTAAGTTTCCTACATTCCGTACTCTCCCCTTCTTTTCTTTCGTTCAGGAATTTAACTGAACGTTTCTAAATGAAAGTAACAATGATCAAACAATTTCAAAATCATTTTTATCAGTTCTAGAATTAAAATCATAATTCAAAAAAAGGCTCTTGTATGATTTATCATTAAATTTTTATTTGTATTGTGCAGGTATACAGTGTAACCAAATACTTTTGATTGTTATACCCGTTACTCGTAGAGTAAAAGGGTATATTGTATTCGTGCAAAAGTATGTAACAGCTAGAAGGAAGCGTTTCCGACCCAATAAAGTATATACATTCTTGATCAGGGTCACTAGCCGAGTCGATATAGCCATGTCCGTCTGTCTGTCCGTATGAACGCTGAGATCTCGGAAACTATAAAAGCTAGAAGATTGGCATTTTGCATGCAGATTCTAGGAGTTCCTACGCAGCGCAAGTTTGTTTCAAAAAGGTGCCACGCCCCCTTTAACGCCCACAATCGCTTATATACGATTTTAAAAATTTAAATATTTCGGAAAAGTAAAAATGCAGTTTTATGGTGTTTATATATATCTGATAGTCGGGGCACCCGACTATAGCGTTCTCTCTTGTTTTAAATTTAATTGTGCAACATTTCGTATGGTGTCGTTTCTCTTTCTACTTGGAATTCTGTTAACTAGATAATTTAAAGTTAACACAGCTTCACATTAAAAGCTTTTATCTAATTAAAAATTGAACGATTGAGTTGTGTAATGCACTGTGAATAGATAAGTAATTTCTTTCTGAACTTAAGAAGACTTATCGTAACCTTACAAATATGTCCAAACCTCTCATGCCATAATCGATAAATATTTGTATGTTTTACGTTTACTTTATGTGCTTGAAATTCTATAATAATTATGTTGTCGTACAACAGGTACCTCAGGTTTTGGAAAAAAACACATGTTAATTTTGTTTAATTCAATCGACAACTCCGCATCTTGTAAACGTTTTACAAGATCAAGTTTCCGGCCGTCTTAGCAGTATAAGAAATCCTTTAGTGTTGCATCGTGTCTATTGATAAGCTGCACATTGCCTCGTTTGGTAGCATAGTTAAATTATCCTTTTTTGAAAATAACGATCTGTAGTTCCACACTATTCAAAAACTATGATGCATCGTTTATAAGATTATCAGTCAAGAATTAACCCACAATTTTTGATTTGTTTGTTTTAAACATAAATGGAAAACCGTGTTGTGACGTTGCGATTTAAAGTTGTTTATTTTTATACCCTTGCAGAGGGTATTATATTTTCAGTCAAAAGTTTGCAACGCAGTGAAGGAGACATTTCCGAGTAGTCTTTCTATTGCAGGTAGTATATAAGTTGGAACGAGCCGGATCGGGCAACTATATCATATAGCTGACATATAACTGAACGATCGGAAATGCCATAACTTTGGCGTTTTTAAAGTATTGGCCAACCAATATAATTTACAGAATATATCAACTTCGCCCGGGCGGAGCCAAAGTTAGCTTTCCTTTCTTGTTTTCGTTATTAATTTTGTATAATAAATTCTTTTTTATGTGTCTCTTCGATTTATTTTAAAAATGGTTGTTATTATTCGGAACATTTACCTTCAGGTCTCTAAACTAGTGTCATTATTAATATTTAATTGTGGTCTAGCAATCTATTTTTTAAAAATGCTAAATTTCTTTAGTCAGGACTGCTATTGCAGTAGTCACTCCGTCATAGGATGTGGGCGAAGTCAGCAACACATGCGAAACTTATTCATCTCTTCCAATCTTGTACCTTCAGCTGAAAAATCCCTTAATAATTCATCAAAAGCATTGAAATGACTGAATAGTCTTATCGCGCTCTTTAATTTGAACGCGAGAAACCTTTTTCGAACTGCTACCTGCGAATCCAAATTGGTTCGCTTATAAAAGGCTTTCAAATTCTTTAGAATTAGTTGCGCAAAGTGTGACCAGATTTGAGAAAGTTCAATTAGGTGTTATGTATTATATTCAAAATATGTTAAGTCTCATTTCATAAAACTAGTTCGTTAGCGGAAACACTTGCATCTTTCCCTTTCTAATTTATTAAAATAACATAACATTTGTTTGGTTTTCGGTTTATTGACTAAGATTTTTTGTTAATGTTGTGATATGATTCAGAATATAAATATAATGTTAATAATAGTGATGCAGCACATGAATAGGAAATCAATATCAGTTGAACCAAAATCAGTTAAAAACGGCAAGGTTACAGACATGTGTCTGACAGCTAGCATCAAAATAGCTTAATAGTGTAAGAGTAAATTTTAGTAATTTTTGTTGTTACATAAATACTTCTTTATTATTGTATAAATGTATTTCGAAAGTTGCAGTCAATTATAAAAGTATATTAATTTTATGCGATCTTTTAGGATCTGCGATAGCACACGGACAAAATGAACAGTGCGGTGCCAGGTTAAACCCGTCCACTCAAAATCTTTTTATATATATTTCTAAACAAATTATAAATTAACCATAGTTACAAAAAAGAAGAAGTATTTTACAGATTCGCTGCACTGTTTAATTGAAAATATAATTAATTAGATGAATTGATCTGACCGCTGTTCGGATCAGACTCTTGAGCACCTCTCTGTAGTTTTATGAATTAGACCCTTCGCTGCAACAGGAACTACAGATTGTTTGTCGGGTGCTGTCATAAGTATTATGTATTAGACCCTACGCTGCAACGTCAACTACAAATGGTTTGTCAAGTGCTGTTAGACTGAAGCTCGACCTTAAAGAGCGGTAGCGACATCTTATTATACCCTTGCAGAGGTTATAATAATTTTGGTCAGAAGTTTGTAACGCAGTGAAGGAGACGTTTCCGACCCTATATTCTTGATTTTTTATTGGGTTTGTTACATTTTTTTGAAGAAAAACTTTTTTTAAATTGTTTAAATCATTAAAAATGAATTAGTCTTGGTATATTAATATAATTTGATTTTTAATATAGTTAGCAATTAACTTTTGTTTGTTTAATGTTTGTTTCAGATCCCTTTGAGTTTTTACGTAGTCAGCCACAGTTTCTTCAAATGCGCTCTTTAATATATCAAAACCCTCACCTTTTGCATGCAGTTTTGCAGCAGGTGAGTACATAAATAAAAAACAAGGAATAAGGTAACTATTTTTCATAAATAGATTGGGCAGACAAACCCAGCTCTTTTGCAACTTATTTCGGAGAACCAGGATGCGTTTCTTAATATGCTAAATCAACCGATTGAAAACGAAACAGAATCCATTGACACAGTACCACAAGCTTCAATTGCTCGTACACAATCAACTTCTGCACAGATTGAAAGCCTCTTTTCGTCAGAGTTGGAAGGCGCAGTCGCTGCACAAAGATCAACCGCAGGAACGAGTGTGTTGCAGAGAGGCGACAACGCAGAGGAAAACGAAAACTTAGAAACAACATCAGGAGTCTCAACCATTCGACTAAACCCACAAGATCAAGATGCAATAGAACGGGTAATTATAAACGAAATTAGAATGTTAAAAAAATTATAATTATATTTTAACTATAGCTAAAAGCACTTGGATTCCCAGAGGCACTTGTACTGCAGGCGTACTTCGCGTGTGAAAAGGATGAGGAACTAGCAGCTAACTTCTTGCTTTCATCTAGCTTTGATGATTAAGTTGGCCAAATGTAAAAAGTTATACATATACTATATACGGAAATCGTTACAAATAAAATTAGAAGTTCTAAAAGCAAATGTTAAAGGTCGTCAAACGTAAAGAAATAGTATACTGAGTTTTTGTGTTATGAGTGACCTCGGTCTTATTTATTTTTAGTTAATCAAACAAATATTTACGGTTTTTTTTTTTCAATACTCTAATGCCTATACAAACAAAACGTTTTTATTTGGTTCTATTGACTATTTCCCAAAAAATTTAATTCCCGTTCTATGATTTATTTCAAAATGACAAAATAAATCATTTATTAATCAAACAGATGGACCGTTCTTTGTGGCAAAAATAAGGCACTTGTTCTTAAGACTTATTACAATATTGCAATATTAATTAATATTAATATTAAAAAAATTCAACTTATTTTTAATTAAGATAACGGTTTAAGAACTGAAAAAAGTTTAAGCACTTCATAATTTTAAAATTCATCAATCATGTCTTAACGAATTTTGAACCACGATTTGTTTTTCCTTACCATTTTTTTTTATTTATTTTACACATTCTATAAAGTGGAATAAATCGGTTTTCCCTCACCAAGTGTCCACCAAAGCTGTTTTGGATAATCTTTAGTGTTTTCTTAAATAAAATTTTAATTGGAGCAGCCAATCGTGTTCTTACTTACCATATGAAGAATGGCTGCAACCGTACTTGTAATATAATTGGATATTCTCAGAGCACACGTTAAGAGGGAAGCGTGTGGTGTCTCGAAAAGTCCATAAGGACAGAGATCGCTTCCGGAAACGTTAAACCGTGGCTCAACGCGAAATACCAGACTATTCGCCGGAGCCAGACCAAGCAGCTAGATAGGTTGTTGAACCCAGTGTCAGCATCAGTCTACTTGGCAAAGGAGTAAAAGAGCTTTTGAGGCTTTAATTGTGCCCGTCCACAAGTAATCAGTGGAGAGGATTGACCGATCATAGCTCTCGTCAAGCTACCTGTTAAGCACCGAGGGCAGACAGAGAAGATCTGAGGCCGATAATCGAGAGCTGGAGAATATCAGGACTCTCTGACCTTTTAGAGGGATGTCATGTGTACCACCTGCCTGAAGAATCGCTCTATTGAGCTGATCGACGGAGCCCAGCTCATTACCCCATCCGATGTCTCCAGCGACGCAGAAGGTGGTCGAGGATGAGGACGACAAGCTGCTGCCCCAGGAGTGTTAAAGAAGCTCAAAGAAGCTGGGTCAACTAAAATCGAATTTTCGAAAATTGATACCTTAAACGTTTTCCCATGTTTGCCCACTTTTTAATTTTTTGGCTAACCTTTAGTTTTAAAAATATGGAATCTTCGAAAATTTTTGATCATTTTCAAAAACATAAGAGTTGACTTTTTCGAATTTATTTTTTTAATCGCAAGAGAATCGTTTGCCCATCTTTAAGAATTTTTAAAATATTAATACTTTTGAAAATATTCGACTTTTAAGTTTTGATCATATTTACCTGCACCCCTTAAAAATCGTTTTTTCGAAAAAATAAAAGATGCCCATGTTTGCCCATCTCCTGAAATTTAAGAATTTAAAAAGAAATCGTTTGCTTACTTCTTAAAAAAAGTTAATTTGACAGGAGTTTTGCCCCTCGCCCTGCCCGCGTGCGCAAGTGAGAAGTTGTCACCAACTTACCTTATAGACTTCTTATCATGTGAAGTGAAAATCAAATGCATTAAACATAAGTATAAACCCAATTGATATAATGGAGAAATCATCTGCTCTTTCGCGACCTATTAATGGGTGCGATAAGTCTGAGGAGATGAGAAAAGTAGCTGGTGCAGAGCTGCCAGCTCTGCGCCAACCTTGAAGAATTATCTGCTTTATTCGCAAGTATGCTATGGTGATGTAGACAATCAGCAGCAACACCACTACCAGTGTAACCGGCACTATTTCTAACGTCTAAGCAATCTTGGTCTGTGCTCCTACATACACTAGGACAGCAATCATGGCGCCTATCATTTACCCAACTTTGACAGCAAATTGCCAAATGCCTCTTTCAAGCACACGATCGTAATGTCAACAGAAAACGCAAAGGCGTAACTCAGCTCCTTTCCGTAAAACTAAACGGCAGGCCACATCCAGGCAGCCACTACATCCACTTCAGCAACATTCAGGAACAATCGCTTTTCGATTTGGGCTGCTAAAGCGGAGAGTATGGAGCAAGACCTATCGCATGCCGACTCTGACATTTTTGACTCTGCTGCGCCCGATGGAGATGGACAAACCGCCAAGTCAAACAAGCTTCCGGCCATATGCGTATCGAGTGTAAGCTTTCCTTGGAACAGTCACCTAATCTGAGCATCTTACTACAACATACGTACCTCAAGGCTAGGTGTGTACAGAAATTATACAACTAACTCTGATGCTTTCCGTGCAGCTGTAAACAAAATCGATAACAACGCTGAACTGTAAATTCTGACATCAACTTAAGGAAGAAAAACCCTACATAGTGACCATGTCACTATTCATTTTTCAGGGCCTCTGAAACTGTCCTTGGATCCGAATTGTTGGTGTCTAATAGGTTTGCGGTGGTTGGAACAATGTATACTTTCCGTGGCCTTATTGACTCACCTGTACGCAGGATTCTAGGGCGTCTTTGTTTCCTCGTTCTTCGTTTGTGGATTCAGGACCTCCGGACCTGGACATCCGGACTTATGTCATCCTGCGACTTATGCCATCCTGCGGACCACTAACTGCATTGTCGCGGTTATAGACCTCTGTATCTTCATCATTTGGCTCTTGTCTGCCGTCGACTCCGCCTTTTTAAGTACTGCTTATATCAAAGAATTTCGGTGCAACTCTGAGTTGCCAGTGAAAGCTTAAACATTGGCTATCTGCCATCCTTGACATTAAAAATAAAATGAAATTATATTAAAACAAAAATCAAACATACATATTTATGTTTAATAAACTTGATTTGCTACCATTTAGACAATATTGGGCAATAGTTGTTGTTATTTTTTCTGCAGGCTGGCAAAAATCTGCAGACATATTAGTCCGATTTGGTTGTTCGCGTAGGTCACTTGCAGTCTGTTACCAAGTATCATTTATAGCGCTGTTGTCCTCATTTTAAATGTTGTGCTAAATGCAAAAGGCTATTATCGGATGGTGGATGTACTCTGTGAGAACAAAATGTATTTTGCTGTTTTTCTATTTATCAAAATCGACATAGCTTCATTGCTTTTCGTAATATAGTCATAGAAATCGAAATGTAGTCGTTGCAAAGGTATATAAACCTCGGCTTGCCGGAGTTTGCTTCCATATTTATTGCCTAATTGCCTCATGTTTTTATTCTAATTCTTGAGCAGTTACCATTGCCTTTGTTAAGTCTGGGGGGTTCACTAAAATTAGGATATCAGCAATTTGATTGCTAGGGCCGAATATGAATACCCTCAGTGTATTATTGCTATGTTTACTTTAGATGTAATTAGTTTTGCTTATAAAGAAAGTTAATTTTTTATTGACCAAGTTAAAATATTCCATAATTGACAATTGTCCTTGTCTCAATTCACTTAAGTCTTGCTCAAAAATATGGATTGGTCTTTTATCACTTAAGGGGGTCTTCTAGTCTAGAAATTTGAGAAAATCGAAAAAAATTTTTTTTCCTAATTCGATAGTTTTTATATTCACAAATATCTCCCTAAAAGGATTTTTCAAAACTCAAATTATTTTCAAAGCTATAGCCGTTTTAGTGACGTGGCAACTAGACCGGTTGAGGGAACGACTGGAACTTTAAACGCGTTTTTCTCGAAACTACTTATTTTGATGTGGTCGCCACTCTAACTCAAGTTCTAATCAGTCGATTTACTTGAAATTCGGCATGAATATTCTTTAAATATATCGCTATCGCATGAACCAACAAAAAATACAAATTTTAAATTTATAATATTTTTAAAAATTCGACAAAGTGGAAAAATTAGTGAAAAAATCGACTTTTTTGGTGGTTCATGCCATAGCGACATTCGTACTCATTAAGAATCTATCATTGTTTTATTTTTCAGATAACTACAAGCATAGAAGTTAACAGTATAGGGCTAACCGCCCGACTCTACCGCCCCCCGCACCCCGTGCCACCTCAGCATTGCGACATACGCCGGCCAGGCACCGACACACCGCTCCCCCCGCACCCCGTGCCAACTCAGCACAGCAACATCCGCCGACCGGGCACCGACCTACCGTTCCCCTCCCCTTCCGCACCCCGTGCAAACTCAGCACGGCGACATCCGCCGGCCACGGGAACGCTGACCGCTCACGGTGCAATTGGAGCACGGTGAGAACTGCAAGGTCTGCAATACTTCGGCCGGCCACTGACGCTTACTCCAGCCGGCCGCTGACGCTGACGCCGACGTCGACGGTGGGACGGGCACTTACCGAGGCTTGGCGGTAATAGAGCAGCGCTTGGGAAGGCAGAACAAATTGGACCGGCTAACTGGCACATTGAAATATTGTATACACAAAATAAATTTTATAACGTAATATAAAGACCCTCTGGACTTCTCACTCATCTGGAAGGGAATTGGCCACATACTTGGGAGGGACCGACAATTAAGGAACCTTATTCTAATGACTAGGTATAAGTCAGTCCTCACAAGGATAGGAGTCCTTGGGAAGGACTTAACTGGCGCCCGAGCAGGGACCTCTCCATTAAGCGACGAGGATCCCTAGGACAAGGTAAGGCGGGAAGTGAATTGTGTGTTGCGTGTGTGAGAAAAGTGAGAGTAACCTTCCATGAGAGGTACATGTGAAAAAAAAAGTTTTTTTTTCTAAAAAATAAATAAAATGAAAAAGGTGAAGGAAAAAAAAGAATATAAAAAAATTAATTAACAAAAATTTTAATTCCTAATAAGTGGAATAAAAAAAAAAAAAAAAAAAGTGAAAATGAGAATAATAAAAATTGATTCCAAATAAACAAAAAAATGATAAAAATATGACCGACCCGCTGCTGTGATCTGACCTCCCGGCTTATTCACGAGCGCAAAAGGTTATCGTGAAACAAAAGAAGTGACCAAACCGCCGCGGTGGTTTTAATTCACGGGCGTT